AAAAGAATGCCTGCACCTTTTTTTTTTATTCGAAGTTCCTCGAGTGCCCGCGAGCTTGGCGCCCATGTACTTCGATTTCCTTGCGCGAAGGCACGAGACACACACCGAGCGTCGTCTACTATCGCTCGTCACAGAGTTTTTGTGTCTCATACAGCCTTACTGCAGCAACGTTCGGTTCTAGATTTTAGTCATTTTGAAAGAAAGCTCCTCAAATACCATTCTGTCAAAAGAATTCTTCATTAAATCAGGTCAAACTGAATTTTATTTCATCTTCACAACAAGAAAGATGATTGCGAGAAAAAGCTGCTTTACTGCAGCTGCACTGAACGCCGATGTTACAGGTAAACACTGTGCAGCACTGACTCTAGGTACTTGGTCTACTAACAGTAAGCCAAGACACTTTGCATAATTATGAAGAAGAATTAATACAACAGCGTACCCGTGATTTTAGTAAGTTTAGGGTTTTTTCATAAATGTAACAACAACGCGCCTCGACATCAAAAAAGATACACAACAAATAATAGGAAATATTATATGACATTTAACAATTGCAACCAAATAAGAGAAAGCAAACTCAATGCCCACGTCAAACTCAATGTAAGCAGGTAAGCGCATATATACATTAGCATATGCTAAACAAAAATGCCTTAAGCAGTGCCCCTGACGTACGCATTGAGTTTTCACAAGCTGATACGAATGCCCTGCTTCGCTGCGTGATGTGCAGCTACACACTTCAGCACTGGACCAAACCGGAATGGCGACACCAGCGACTTCACAAATGGGACCCGGAAATGAGATTCCGCATGCCACCTAAATTGAAACGGCCACTCACAAGTATGATCCACCGCATTCGTCTTGGTGTAGCGTACACCAGACGTTACGCACATATCATCGGTCGCAGTGACACCGGTCATAATTGTGAACACTGTGATGTGCCAGAAACACTTAAGCACATATTTTGTGTCTGCCCAGCATACGATCATGAACGACAAACACTGATTTCTTCTACTGAACTATATCGCAGTAGGTCATTAACTGATGAGACCGTGTTGGGCCCTTGGCCAGACACCAACAGTGCAACTGCGGTCACAAGAACAGTTATAATCTTTTTGGAAACATCTGGACTATGTGCACGGCTATGAAATAAGTCTCAGCTAGAAAGAACACTACATACTCACCTCTCTATCTCACCATCGTCATCCAGTATTCTTTCTTTTCCCCTTTCCCTTCCCCCAGTGTAGAGTAGTAGGCTAGAGCAAGCTATCGCTCAGGCCGACCTCTCTGCCTTTCTGTAAATAAACTTACCTCCTCCTCCCTTGATGCAGTGCTTGAATTACACAGTGGGATCAAGCCAAAGGAAATGAGTTAAAACAAGCTCATAGGTCATTGTCGATATAGAGAAAGTGTCCTAATTGGCTACGATTTCCTCAAAGTGCGCAAACGTTCTCACAACTGCATATTCCTAGGCAAGTCCTTAGGTATACAACAAAAGACCGTACGGTTTATTATAGCCAGTCAAGGGTAAGCAAATTACAAGGCTAATTGAAATTTTATATATTACAGCAAATTGCAGCAACAATAGGGAATATTTCAAACAATGGATCTTCTTGAGATTCTCGTTCCACCACTTCCAAGAACAAGCACAGAAGGCCGACATACGCCAAGCAACTCCTAGAATGAAACCACCATGCATAGTGTCAAACTACTATCAAAGGAATATTATATTATTAACAATATCAAAATAACTTACGAAGTTTCACGTACGAAAACCACGATAAGAATATGAGACACCGTGGTAGAGGGCTCCGGAAATTTCGTCGACCTGGGGTTCTTTCACGTACGCCTAAATCTGAGCACACTGGCCTCAAGCGTTTTCGCCTCTATCGCAAACGCAGCCACGAGGGTCTCGAATACTATGCTATAGCTAAGGGGTGGGGAAAAATAGCAGGTATGCCAAATCATTACTATGATCAGCAGAGAAGCGAAAAGGAGGGTTAGTAATGAGAGCGTGGGTGGGAGTGGTAGAAGAGAAGCGACTATAAAGTAAAGGAGAGAACAAAAGAAGGAAGCAAAAAAGTGCGAAAGAAAAAGATGTAGATATATATAAATAAATAGGATAGCAAAGGTCATCTAACTAAAAAATGGTCACCTCAACTAAAAAATCCGGGTGTAGGATTAACAGTCGATAATGTCAGACCAAATCTCTCTAACATCTAACATGGGCAAATAGTAGAGAGGGTCCTGCGTAGCCGAGTAAATGTCTGGATGGCAGACAATTTAGTAATAAAACCGAACCATATCAGCTTTTGTAGTGATTTCTCTATTTAGTGTGCCCATGCTGATTTAGAGAGCCGAATACAGCTCGCGCGAAAAAAAATGCAATACGCTGCTTTAGTAACACTTGACATAGCGAAGGCGTATAACAGTGTGGAGCACTTCATATTGTTAAATACGCTAAAGAGATTGAATTTCCCACAATATTTCACTGAGTGGGTGGCAGAATAATTAAAATCAAGAGAATTCTACTGCGTCAAAGATGGATGTTCCTCATCTAGATTTAAACCAACGCGCAGAGTTCACCAAGGAGCAGTTTTATCTCCAGTTTTTTTTAATGCTTTATTGAGCACAATTCCAACAGATCAAGAAGTTACTGTCTACATTCATGCTGATGACATCGCATTCCTTGCTGCTGACTGTGATATTTACTCACTACAACTTAAATTACAAAGATATGTTAGCATGTTAGAAATTTGGTTGCAGTCGATTTCTTTATCGTTAAATGTCAACAAAAGTGCGCTCTTGGTGTTTCCGCTTGCAGAACCAATTTCAAGTTCAAATTGATATAAACAGGAACCCATTTAGCAAGTAGACTCTATAAAATATTTGGGAATCATTTATACTGACAAACTTGACTAGAGTCCACACATAGAGTATATAACTACCAAAGCACAGCGGGCTTCAGGTTTACTGCACAAGCTAAGTAACCGGAAATATGGGTTACGGAGGCACACCTTGATAACTTTGTACAAGATGTACATGCGCCCCATCATGGAATTCGGATGCATATTATTCTCGGGTGGCCCTGCTTATAAAACAAAACCTCTAGTTGTCTTGGAGTGAGAAGCACTGTGAATGTATCTGGGACTCCTTAGGTTTGTGGCTATCAACGTACTGTACCAGGAAGCGAGCCTGCCTACACTACTTTGTCGATTTCGAATTTTTACCGTACAAGCATTTTTAAAATTTTAAAGCTTACCGGCAAGAATATCTCAATATGCTTTTATTGCGGACCCAGACGCCTTCTTTCTTGCTCATTGGCCACAGTTTCACACATCTTAGATAATGTTTGTACAAAAGAATTTACGAAGTACAAATGTGAACATTAGAAATGTAATTGAGACTAATGACTCGAATTGTCATGTTTAATTGAGTATGATATATTCCCCCAAAACGCCAAGTTACAATCTCTCAAATTTTTGAATTACATATTATTAGACTACTTGGAGCATGCAGAAACTAAAAATATAATAGCCCCAGACGCTTCAGTAAATAATCAAACGGCAGGTGTAGGCATTGCCTCTGACTCGCTTGACTGGTCCTTTTCAATGAGACTGCCTGAGTTTACTGCAGTTTTTGAAGTGGAGCTCATGGCGATTATTTTGGCTCTTTGAAAACTTCCGTCAAATTAAAACACCACAGTCATAGTGTCGGATTCTTTTTCAGTTTGTGCAGCTCTGACAGCTTCAGAGAACTCTCGAATTCTAAGGACATTCAAAACATTAGCACCCCCGCAGTTGAGACTCCTGAGGTTACTATGGGTTCCGGGACACTCTGCATTAAGATTAAATGAATTGGCCGATTCCTTAGCACGAGCCTCACTTGATGGGCCAGTTTTATCCATACTGCCAGATGTTGAATATATTACAGCAATAAAATATTGAAAATCAGCAATCTCCACTGATACGGTAAAAAAGGTAACTACATGGACAGAATATAACCACCTCAAGTTTCCATGGCGACCACCCACTGGAGCCAGTCCAGAAAGGTCGAAGTTTTAATTACTAAATTTCGATGTCGTGTCCCCCCCCCCAAAAAAACCTATATCTACACAGAGCTGGTCAGACAACATCACCCCTCTGCGCATTCTGCGGAGAAATGAAATGAATAGAACATTATTTTTTGTATTGTCGCCGCTACGCTATACTTCGTAAAAGGTTACTAGTTATTCCATTTCTGAAAATAGGCGTTAGATTGACGGCGGAAACTGCGCTAAGCTTTGGTGCCTCAGTTATGGGACATTGCCACAGGGATGCTTTCAATGCCGTTTGCGATTATATTCAGGCAACCAAGCGTATACCTATATGATCTTCAATGAAATAATTATTATTTATTACTGCCCATGGCAAAGTAAAGTAAACGCAGCTGAGTTGTAATCACAACACCTGGAATCTCAAAATTCCTCAGCTTGACTTTTCTATTTTTTTTCTCGTTTGCTCTCTTTTTATGTGGTTTTCCTTACATTAGTCATATTATAGTACAAATTCGTTACACATAGTTAAAATGACCACGGAAAAACTGCACTACACTTTTTGGCCAACTTCCCTGAGTGGGTACGAGCGATCAGCCCAAGGAAACAAACAAACAAACTAAATAAAGAGAAAACAAGCGTGGCAAATTAAGAAGATGAAGTAAGACGAAAGAACGGTATCTGCGTTCTCCAGGTGGTGGCGCTTGCTTTACAGTTTTGTTGTTTACTCGCACTGCACAAACGTGGAATGGGTATTTTTTTTTGTAACCAAGTGGCACATTAAAAATTAAGCTTTAATTATTACAGCCGCTTGTACGTGAATACGTTATTACACTTCACTCTCTTGCATTGTCCCACAGTTGTATTTCTTGGTTTCCTAATAAAATAATCATTTCTAGCGTTCTAAAAAGGCAGCCCTTTTTTTCCTGTTTTTCGAGCAGCCACAGTATCTGTCATGCTTCACCTGTTATAGGCACGTCCAGTGACATCATTGTACCTGCCAACGGACGTGGAGCTTATGCATGAGCTGGACGAAGGATTCCGAACCTCTGATGAATGCTTGACGAAAGCAAACATTGGGTGAGTATAAAACTTTGGATTGCGTGAGTGGTTTCAAGGCTACCATTGCCTTTTTTTCTCATTTAAACGCTTTCGTTGGTGAACTATGCCTTCTCGTCATTGTCATTGGCTGGTGGAATCGAAAACAGTAGTGGGTTTTCGCGCTTGAGGCTTACTTGTTTTTAGCCGAACTCGACACAACCGTTTTAGGTTACCTTTGTGAAATCCGAATCATGCACAATTGTGAATTTGTTTAAGAGTTCCCAATTCTTCCCTTCTGTGACCCCATGTATTCTGCACTAGATGTCTTTACCTTTGTCAAGCAGCACTTCAATCCCCTCATTTTAACTCATCAGTCGCTAGTGAATAGCACTCTCAGGTTTTTATATATAGCTCTCGTTTTTCACCAAATCCCACTTGTTGAACGTACAACCCCTCGGACCTCGCACAACTCGCGAAAAGAGGCATTGTAGACTTTCGCTGTAGCAATGCTTTACAGAAATGTTGTGAACGTCTAATAAGTGCTAGATTTAAAGCGCAAGCAGAGCGACATTTGAATGGTGGCTACACACAACTTTATATCGCGGAATTTTCAGTCAAGAAGCTTCAGACCTCGGAACAAGACCTTTCCCAAGGTTGAGACATTAAGGCCTCATAAGCTCGCCGAAGTTTCTTATCTACATGGAATCTCCGACAACTTCAAAAAAGCTAGGAAGTGGGCATATGTAAAAGTGGTACTCTCTGCCCCAGAAAAATTGGTTCTCTCTGCCCCGGAAAAGGCACGACACCAGCCGAGCATGTGAAGCGGGGGTATGGGAAGCGTGGACGCCAAAGTGGGATATTGTGTGACTAAAAATTTTCAGAATTTGAAAGATGTTTACCAAGAAACTAATATTAATCGTCATTGTGACAGGACAATATAAAACACCAAGAATCACCAGGTACAATTGTACTCTGCTTCACCACTATGGTTCAGCACTACCAAAGCTACGGGGTGTGAGAAAGCCACAACCTTGCGCAGTGAAACGTAGTCTCGTACACGAGTGTTTTAAAATTGACAGGGTTGGCTAGAATTGACGTTTCTTTTGTGTTTTACGCGATGCCAATACAATATACGTTTATTCTTCTTCGCATTTATTTATACAATTATTTATTTTTGTTGGTTACCGCCAATAACCCTGTTTAAAAATCGACATGACCGCACCTATGCAGAAAAGAACGCCCGCTCTGATCCGCACTCACTCTTGCTACACTCCCACTGCAATAACAACAGTAAACAAATCGTAAAATCAGCCATTGCTTTGTTTCATCTCATCTAAAAATAACGCATTAAGTAAGTTTTTTCTTTAATAGCGAGATATGCTTGTTGCTTAGCTACACTTGCTTAGTCTAACGCGCCGAGGCAGTGTTCGGAATGCGTCCTCAGGCCAAGAACACTATCTCTCCAAATATCGGACATGCTACCTAGCCCAGAATTTCATACGTGACGGAACCTCTTTCGGTGGAAACAAAAAAGAAAGAAAAGAAGCATTGCAACAGGAGACGCGAACGAACGCGTCAAGAGAGAAACAGGCATACGAGAGCCACGAGCAGCGTCGAAGAAAAAGAGCTGCGAAGTGAAGTTATCTGCCCGTCTGAGCGTCTACCGATCTCACGAAGAGGAACATAATCACACTTCTTCAACTTCCCAGTTTATTTGCTTTGCTATTTGCTATTTTGAAGGTATAAACTAGACATAACAAGTAAAACTCAGAGAGCAGACACCGTGAATACGGTGAGCAGACGACAGGGCACGAATGGATACATGTGGAGGGGCTAAGCACCCTTGCTGTTGGCTGAGGGGCCTGTTGCCTCTATTGTGCTGAAGAGAACTTCTGAAACAGAGTATAGTAGGCAAATTCAAGATACACATTATGGACTTACGGCCTAGCTTTGTCGTTTACTATTTATTTTATTCGGTGTGACTTCGTCAATCAGTTTACATTACATGGGGCAGCGTATGGTTACGTACCCATACGATACTCAAAGAATTGCCCACTCCTCTTGATTTACATTTTGGAGACGCATGGGCTTGTTTAGATGCGAAGCAGATTATGGCAGAGCTCAGTACGGTGTGCGTAACCAACCTTACTGCGCATGCGCGGCAGCTGGCCCGAGCCTTACCAGAATGCGCTTGCACGTGCCATCGTGTTCGGGCCTGCATAAGTGGCTGTATAAGAGGCTTTGGCCTCTACCTGCTTACACTCTCTTAGCAATCACGTAATCATGTTGCGGAACGTGTTTCCGCAGACGCGCGACGAAGCCACGTGGCCCCAGGTTGCGTGGCGATGAACCACCGTGGCTGTTCCGAGAAGAGGTCGGGACGAGTAAAGGAACAGAAACTACAGTGAATTCATGGTGTGCTTCACTTTCAAGGACGTGTTAACATTCGTCAACGTGCCCGTGATAAACGGAACTTCAAATCAACCCATGCCCTTCTTCGCGGGCTGCTCCTTGTATCCCTTTAGGAAGAGTGTATTTAATATTTGGTACATATACTCCTGCACAGCTTTTTGAATTTTTTTAAGGAGGGGGGGCGAACGAATAGTGCCACTTACATTTAAATCACTTTTGCTATATTTAGCTGTAGAGAGTAACTGTTAGAAGCCATAAAGCCGCACTGGCGCACTTATAGACATAGTGCACATGACTGAGTGAGGCTTGTTTGGCTTTATGTTAACAACCAAACGCCGCTTCGCATGCTGTTTCACTGTTTGCACAAACTTTACACAAAAATATACGCAATGCAGGGAAGTCGTGAACTGCGCTCAAAGCCCTCTGGGATCGGCCATATTCACCATTGGGATTATAGCCGGCAACAAGGTATGTAGCACGTAAATATTTTTGCGTTTATCGCTTTTTATTGGTTAGCAGGTGCCTCAAGGTAAATGACAGGTCATTGAAAGTGGCAATCCTTGAAGGTACATTAGCGACAAAAAAGCGGTTGAATTTCGAAAAGTATTCAGTAATATCAGCTAAGAAGCGCTTATCGCGATATCGAGGACGGTGTAAAATAAGCATGACAACACAATTCACTTTTATTTTGTTTTGTCAGTAAAAGAGTTCTAGCATATTCCATGACCTGCAAATACACGTTATTGTGAAGCAGCCAGCGAGGATCTGCACATGCAGCATTCTGATCCAAGCCTTACGAGGTGGATAGGTGTCTTCATGTAATTCGAGTATAGTGTACATATCGTGGAAACCTTAGGCATGTCTGTAAGGTATCTATCTATTTCACTGTGTCACTAAACGTCGGCTTTCACATTGCAGTGCAGTTTTTATTCAACACAAAGTGTACGCACTGTATTTTGGTGTATTCCTGCGAGGTGATGTCGTGTAAAAGTTTCGATGCCTACTTTGACTGTCATGGGCCCTTCGTGTTTCGTAAAATAAGATGAGACGTGATTATTTGCGAGTGCACTGACACCGATCAAGACATAGCACAGCACGCGCAGTGGGCGAGCTAGTTCATTTCATCGTCTTCTGAACGCAGGTTTCACAGTTCCTGCGCTAGCTACGCAGCATTACTCCATGCTGTATAAGCGCTGTCTCTATGCAATTCGTACGTGATCAGCAGAAGGAAAGTTCTACGGTTTTAACTTATTGACGTGGACTACGTCACTCGGGCAGTTTGCAGAGAGGTTAGTCTCGTAGACTCGAACGACTTCGCGAGCAATGTCCGTTACCCACCATAGGATATGACAAGGTATGGTAACTTCTCCGACAATTCAGCATGATGAACTGCTCCACACAAGAACTAGGGAACTAGAGGAGAACTGAAGGCTGACATTCCCGCTGTCGTACAAAGCTTTCTGGGTTGCTTGTGAAGCAAACAGTCTAGAGCGGGTGATCTAACGTGCGTGGTCGGTACGAGCGATAGCATCACGTGCGTATTCTCTCGATGGTGGTGTAGTATTCGCTAGTAGGGTGAAGACACGGACCAATTGGCCGGTGTGTGCCTACATGGGCGAGTTTTACTGGGCTGAGCCCTGCCCTAGCAAGGCTTATCCCTAAATGTTCATGTTCCGGCCCGTCCGAGCCCAGACCGGGTATGGGCCGTATTTAAAATAGGGCCCCGACCCAGCCCGAGCCTGAATGGTCTGGGCCAGACCCGGCCCGACCCGTTTCAGCTCATCTTGTCTTGAACATAAACGAGGCACATCTCACTCTTCAATTGTTGTCAAGGTATCTTCCTCACACAAAAGATATTCTAGTAAGTGTTTTTGGAAGTTGTTTTAGTTTCAGACTTTATCTTACGTTGTTCACTTTGTGTACTTTCAGTTATTCACGCCCGTAACATTTTGGGGAAATAACTTTAAGGTAATATAAAGTATATATATGTAGTTATAGCTGGTTGTATCAAGTACGCAGTGCTAACCATACAACCTTAGTTTTGCGTTTCAAAGAGTCACTACGAAATACCCCTATAAGGCGAGAAAAATGGCAAACACTTTCAGTTGGAGCCTACATAAATTGCATGCTAGACGTGGACGTCTAGTAAAAGCAACACGTATCCTGTAGAGTGATGTATTATGGCTATTTTTTTCGCAAAGTAGTACACTTGGATGAGAAGACAGACACCAAGGGTGCAATTTAGTACACCATTCAATAAATAAATCACAGCATATCCACGGAGTGGTTGATAATAAGTGTGGTGAAGCGTTTGTTCATCCATGCGTTCGTTGGTCTGTCCGACCGTGCATCCGTTTACCCATCCATCCACCAGTTTGTCTGTCCGTGCGTTAGCGCTTTCGTCTGCCCTTCCGTGCATCCATCCATGCGTCCGTCTGTGCAACTGTCTGTTCGTCCTTCCATCCGCGCGTGTATCTGTCTGTCCGTCTGTCTGTCTCTCTGTCTGTCTGTCTGTCCATCTGTCTGTCTCTCTGTCTGTCTGTCTGTCTGTATGTATGTCTGTCTGTCTGTCCATCTGTCTGTCTGTCCGTCTGTCTGTCTGTCTGTCTGTCTGTCTGTCTGTCTGTCTGTCTGTCCATTCATACGTGCATCCGTCTGCCGCACTGCAGACAGTTCTATTTTAGCAGCGTGATGTAGGAACTGAGCCGAGAAATCGTGACAAGACAGCGTCATCTATTTTACTATTCAGGAGAATCTGCCGGTTATGCCTGATGCAGGACAAGCTCAGACTAAGAGGATCTTTGCTCCTAAGAAACATGCTATAGTTGTTTCTGGGAAGAAAATATTGTCACGACTTCAAAAAGGAGGTCTCTGCCGCAGAGATTGCAGCACAAGAAGCAGGTCGATCATTTATTTAGAACGCGCAAACGAGTTCTTCTTTTTCGCCCATTTCGTAGTCCTTCGTGGCATATGCACAACTGACATCGTCTTTCTTGAGTAAGCACGTGACATTTGCCTCCTTCCGAAAGAGGCATCGTCCTGATGGGCACCTTAGGTGCTATACCAGGCGTATGAAGTGGTCGTGCCCAAATGGTAACCGGGAGCTAATTAACTCGAATAATACAGTTTTATACGCACGACGTGCACGATTTAGAACTACTATCAGTGTCGGGAACAACTTCGTAGTTCACGTCGTTCAAGCGTCGCGTGACGCTGTATGGGCTAAAGTACCGTGTTAGCAGTTTTACAGACAGTCCACGTCGACGTATCGAAATCCAGGCCCAGACTTTGTCGCCTGATGTGTAGCTAATCAACTTAGCGTCGTGGCGTTGTGCATCTTGATGCTGCTGATGACAGATGCACACACCCGCGAGCTGCCTGGCTTCTTCGGCGCACTGAGTGAATTTTTCGGCGTCGACATAGGTATCGTCACACTCATGCGGCAACATGCCACCATAGATCAGATTGAGCGGTGTGATTCCAGTGGTTTCTTGACGAGTGGTGTTAATTATTTACAATTATTAATATTGCCACGTTACAATTCGCAAGTTTTTGTTATCGTTCCGAAACATCACACGATTCTCGGCGCAAACCGCGCCCGCAGGTTTTGAGAAGGTTCCGGACTGTAGTAGATCATTTCGATAAGACCATGCCCACTGTGCGAACGGTACAGATTGTTCTGGAACCTACGCCACCGCCAGCGATAACGCTAGAACATTCGACGGCAAGGATATAAATGCCGACGCGCTTCGCCGCTTGTCAGTTGTTGATCGAAGGCCGATGCTGCGTTCGCCGCTATCAGTCCGAGACTGCTGTCTGTGCAAGACTGCTGCTGTAATTAGACTTTCCCTTTACCGGGCACAGGTTTGCCCAAATAAACAGTTAAATCCCAACACGAAGTTTCCTGTCTTTGGCCACGTCACGACCCCGTGACATCTGGTGGAGGTGCTGCTTCGTTCATGTACCAGACACCCCCGTCAAGCCGTGAACCCAGCCGCCGTCGCGGAGAAGACACCGACGCCAACCAAGAGCAGCGAACGAGCCGCCGACAGCAAGGTCTCCCACCGGAGTACGGCCTTCTACAAGACAAGGCGCGGAAGACCAAGACCATGACCTCGAATGCAGCGACAATGACAACCGGAGCGTCCCAGCCCGCGATCATCATTCATCAACCCAGGGAACCACCAACGTTCCATGGCTCATTGTTTGAAGACCCGGAAACCTGGCTAGAAACATACGACCGAGTGGCCGCCCTCAACCACTGGGACAACGAAGAAAAGCTCCGTCGTGTGTACTTCTACCTCGAAGACACCGCAAGGACCTGGCTAGAGAATCGGGAGTCCACGCTCCGAACGTGGGATGTCTTCTGCGGCGCCTTTCTGCAAACGTTCGCAAGCGTCGCTCGCAAAGAGAGGGCCGCTGCTCTACTCGAGACCCGGGTTCAGCTACCAAATGAAAAGGTTGGAATTTTCGCAGAGGAGATGACCCGCCTATTCCGTCACGCTGACCCAGACATGCCTGAGGAAAAGAAAGTTCGTTTCCTCATGCGAGTGGTCAAACAGGAGCTCTTCGCGGCACTAATGAGGAATCCACTGAACACCGTCCAAGAATTTGTATCCGAGGCGACCACCATCGAAAAAACGCTGGACATGCGCACGAGACAGTATAATCGTCACCTGACTCCAGAATGCGCTGCTGCTCAAGCCAGTGACTCCGACGACCTGCGTGAAACGATCCGAGCGATCGTGCGGGAAGAGCTGCGCAAACTGTTGCCTTCGGCGCAGCCTCAAATGGATTCGATCGCCGACATTGTGCGAGAAGAAGTCCGGCAATCGCTTCGAATTCCCGAAACACCGCCGCCCGAGCCAGAACCTATGAGCTACGCCGCTGCAGTGCGCCACAACGCTCCTCCCCGTCCACGCCAAAACGCCGCCCCGTCACACTTCCGTCGCCAGACGCCACCGCCACCACCACCCCAACCGACGTCCTACCGTTCCCCAGCGGGCCAGCGCAGTGCACCGAGGAAAACGGACGTTTGGCGTGCACCTGACAACCGCCCGCTCTGCTACCACTGCGGCGAGGCCGGGCACACATACCGCCGTTGCCAGTACCGACAGATGGGACTGCGTGGCTTCGCCGTCAATGCACCGCGTCCGCAGCCAGGAGATCGGCCACGTGACATCGCCGACTACCTGGCAGGAACTCAATGGACACCACTAAATTCTTCCCGTTCGCCGTCGCCCAGCCGCCGCATGTCACCGCACCCCCGGCAGTACTCTGGCCCAACGCGGGGCCGGTCTCCTAGCCCGTATCCGGGAAACTAAGGGCAGCAACCGATGGAGGTGCGGTTGCTGTGCGACGAACTAACGAAGATCCTCCGACAACGACGCCGACGCGACGGAGCTTTTTGAACACAACACCAACCAGGCAAAACCCTGAAGGCAAAAGCTCACTTACCGAAGGTGGCC